AATGAATCCCTTACCGACAATGAATCTAGACCATCCATTTGATGAACTTCAAGATCTAGGAATTTACAAATTCAAAATCATTTTTTTTTTTTTCTAACATTATTCATCTATTCATAATGAAGCCTTATTAAAAAAATTTGGACATGGAAAAATCTTTCAAAAGTCGAGATCTAAGCATCATATCAAATAGACGGCACGTATTAATTGAGCCAAAACTTTTTCTAGCATGTGTTTTGAAATTTTGCCTTTTATAATTGTTTATTGAAATGAAAATAGTGTATATGTAAAGTCAAATAAATAGCCCTAATATGGTAAAAAAAAACAGGTTTTACCAGCTTTGGTCTATTGAACAAGTCAATTTTAACTAGTTGGACCATCAAAATGAAATTATAAATTTCTACATATATTTAATATTTAAAATTAAGATATTTATTTATTTTTTCCTAAAATATAGTTTTTGATCGGTGATTGGACCCATTTTGACAAGACAAAAACCCGGTCACCGTTTAGGTGGCGATCCTATCCTAATAAAACATTAGTTTTCAGTTTTCATAATTCGTTTGAGTTGAAAACTTGAAATTGCCTTTTAAGCCCTTTTGCGTGGCCTATAAAGGAACGAAGAGTTCCGTTTTGCTCCTTTGATTTATTTGCAGTTTTGTGTTTTACTCAATATTTAAGGCGTGAAGGAACATCTTTCAATTTCGTAAAAGGATTCGTCAAAATAGCCTGTAAATTAAACTAATTTACAAGAGAACGAATGTAACATATATTTAGCCAACAGATTTCCTACTCTCTTTTAGATCTCTTCAAATTAAACATTGCTAGAAATAGACTTTGCTTCGGATGGATGCTGCAAGAACAAAGATATTTTAAACTTAATTTTAATGGAAGCTCGTTGGGTAATCCTGGTCAAGTTGGTTGTAGTGGGTATTACGGGACTGTCATGGTAATGTCATTTTTGCTTATGGAGGTCCTTGTGGTGTCATATTGGCCAATCATGTTGAACTTCTAGCACTTTTCTATGGTTTAAAATTTTTTGTTAACAATAATTTTGGATTGATGTGTACTATTGAAGGAGATTCGATTAATGTTATTAAGTGGAGCAAGAAGGAGCAATAGATTCCTTGACAACTTAAATCGATTGGGCTTCAAATTTTAGACATGGTGGCTTCTCTGATGGTGTCATTCTGAAGTTGCAAATTTACTTTCTAAGAGGGGAGTGTCCTTGCAATTTTTAATTATTTGTGATGATGTAACCTCCCTTTAGTAATCCTTTTATTTGAATAAAATTACGTAACTTTGTCAAAAAAAAAAAAAAATGCTAATTCAATATTATCACATATAATTGCTACTCATAACCTCAATTACTTTAATTAGTGAACTAGCTCTCTATGTATCTTTATACACATGATTTATATGTATTCGATTATCGAGAGCCGATTGAACTACTAAAGGTAAACTAAAATCAATGTCATATTAACTATAGTGTAACAAACGTCATAGTATTATCTCTCTACAAGTATAATTGAAGATAAATTATGTCTGTGGCTCGTTACATTTGATTTTTCAACTTCTTCGAGCTTACTCTTAATACACAATGCCTTGATGTTTGGCCTTCATGAGTTGAATTCTCACCTTTGTTAATGCTTTTACAGCTTTCCATTTGCATGTTGTGACCCGTACACAAGAAGGTCATAATTACTCTCGTCTTTCAGATTACATATCGAAGTGATTATAAGTATGTCATTGACTAAACTCAAAGTTCAAAAAAAAAAATTTTCCGAACTTCATGACACACCCCAAGCCATCTATTTTGACATCTAATGACCATGAGTAATTGTAATCTCCTTGTAAGAAAGACAAATAGTCTCATGGGATACAATCCCAAATCTCAAACTACGGTGGCCTTATATTACAATTAATTTCAAATAAATTTATATTGTTGTCATAAGGGAGCATATAATGTACACTTACTCCCTCAAAAAACAAACCCACCTAGAAAGAATTTTATGATCTCAAGATTTTGGGTCCACTTTCGAACTACTAGAGGAGTATTTTGCAAGATGGATTAAACATTTGAATTCTTAAACCCCTAAAATGACATAAGGTGTTAATCTTATACTCTAGAAGTGAGGAGCACCTCAAAAACCCATAAGAAAATATTGCTTTGATGTTGAAAAGCCATCAAAACCGATAATCTCAGCATCGCTGTATATGGACATGACAAATAAAACGATTTCAAAGCCTAAAAATAGTGTATTGTGTAATATATTGTTTGGATTCTTCATTTTCAATATTTTTAAGTTTGATAGATCGGCGTGATCCACATTATTCTTAGAGCTTTATATTTTACAATTCAGGACGAAAATATATTTTATGCCACCATACGAGTTTCTGGCAATAGAAGAACTTCTTCTGGTTGGGTTTGGAGGTGTATCTTTTATTGTTTAATGCAAACATTTTATATAAACTGCACCATTTAATCAAAGGACATGATTTTTCCATGGGCTTCAAGGTGGGTAATCTTTTCTTTTTTAAGGTTGGTTGTTGGGCAATCAACCCTGAAATTTTGGGGACCCTTTGAGTGGCTCATGTAAAGAGCCATGTGTCTTTGGTGCAAAAATAGTATATATAGGAAGTGTCAATTGTTTGCCATGAGTACAAACACTTAAACAACATATATAACTTACAGAAATGCTTGAGAGAAAAAAAACTGCTCAATTCATACTTCATTTGGCTTACAATTGTAGAGCACACAGAGAAACTTTAAACATGCAAACACTCAGTAGCTTCATCAATTTATCACCTTCCATAATCCACAATCAAGAACAATTTTACGTTGTGAACAAGAACCCGAACAAGCATTCGGCAATCTCAGAACTCAAAAGCAAGCTTTCTATGCCTTGTAAGATCATCCATATAGCTTTTACCCTCTGCAACTTCAAATAACTCAGCAGAGGAGAAAGTCCTTTGCAAACTGGGCTTTGGGTGCTTCTCTAATGACGCCATGTTTCCTTCCCCAACAAGAAGTTCAAGAACCTAGACAAGAAAGAAAACACAATGAGATGCACGACACAATAAGGCTAAAGAATGGAAATTGAAGAGAAAAGAAACGCTGGGTGTATGGTATATGCCTGGCTCATGCAAGGCCTGAAAATCGGCATGTATTGCACACACAAAGAGGCGGATTCAACCGCACACTTCATCTGTTCTAGGTCATAAACACCCATTAGACAGGGATCCACGAGCTCCTCAAAATTACTTGTTTCAAGTAAAGGCTTCGCCTGTGCAAAAAACATTCGATTCTGAATCAACACAAATTTCATACTTATATCAACTGAGAAAGAAGAGACAGAAATCATTGATCTCCAATGTTAACCAACGCACACAAAGGGGGAGAAAAAAGCAAAAACAGGGAATCCCCTAAATGGTTTTAAATAGAGTAGGAGAGGCAAAACGCATACCCACATCACAAGGCTTTGTTGAGAAGAATCAACTGCTCGACGCCCAGTAATGAGTTCAAGAAGTAGGACTCCAAAAGCGAAAACATCTGTTTTCTCATCCACGATTCCATGCATAAAATACTCAGGGGCCATATATCTGTAACAATACATAAAACAATGGTCAGTAAAGAACGGGGCTGCTAGTCTGGTCTGGTTGATCTGGAGGATCGACCCCGCCCAAGCTGCTTCTTTACCCTAAGAACAGAACAGCGGGTTGGATCAGCGGGCCAAAAGATCTGAACCTGACTAGGACACCTCCATGTCAGGGTCAACCCCACACAGATCTGCATGTGTGTACATCTGGGTCAGGTCAGGGTCCAGGTCATACTGACCCACATGCCACCCCAATGAAGAACCACAAGCAAGTTCTAAAGCGAAAGGAGTATTTTTTCTGTCATGAACATTTACCCAAATGTGCCTTCGAAATGGGAAATTGTATGGTGAGTCCATTGATTCGGTAGCCACTTTGCAAGTCCAAAATCAGATATCTGGTAAAAACCAATTTGAGGGACATGATTCAATAAGTACAAAAAGAACAAAGGAAAATTCAAGGGAGATTCGAATGACTGAGAAACAAGACTTTCCATTAATAAGATTGTTAGAAAACTAAATCGCCTAGGTTTCCCAAGACAAGAAAATCCAATTTGATTCACCAACATCTCAAGGATTACTCAATATTTATCTTTGTATAATAGACAGTTCAATAAGATTTAGATTTCAGAATACCTGTGGCTCAAAATCCTCTGTAAGTAATATATTAGAAGCTTTAATGTCTCTATGGATTATACGTCTCGGGCAGCCATCATGCAGGTATTGAAGGCCCTTTGCAGTTCCTAAAGCAACTTTATACCTGACAGCCCAATCTGGTTTTTGCTTGGAACCTGAAAAAATACATAAAAACACTATAAGCAAAATAATCATTTCACATTACAAGACAACCCATTATAAAGGAAAGAGAAATGAGTAACAGCATATTATTTATGTGGTTTCAATACCATGAAGTAGAGAAGCCAGACTTCCATGTGGCGACAATTGTAGAACAAGATGGAGTCCACCTTCGACGCAAAATCCAAAAAGGTGAGCAGCATTTGGATGATTAATATGTGCAATAATCCCAAGTTCAGATAAGAAATCCCCTGTTCTATCAGCCTGTGTTCCTCGAGCAAGCCTCTTAATGGCCACAAGCTGCCCATGATTCAACCTTCCCTTGTAAACTTCGGCATAACCGCCCTTTCCGATGAGGTTCTCTGCAACAAAAACAAAACCAAAACACATCACCGTTTCCGTTTATTTACAACCATTCCATTGTTCCATGGAAATAATACTGTAAACCAATTGAAACATATCACATTTCCTTTCATTCAAAACCATATTTTTTATTGAAATAATACCATAAAACAATCGTTTATGTTATACTTTCCCTCTTCTCAACTCTTAACAAGTAGAAAAAAAGCATGTAAACTTGGGCAGGCAAAAGCACCTGAACTAAAGTTATTTGTTGCATTTCGAAGCTCTGAGAGAGTGAAATTCTTCCAAGAAGGCTTCAAAAAACATAAATCAGCAGCGTTACTTGTGCTTTGGCATCTCAACCTCCCCCGTTTCCAACTCGATATCTTGGGAACCCGCATAGGAGGAAAAGAGGAGAGTCGATTCATGGACTTTTGCTTCCATAGGCTAAAAAAAGCTCTCCATTGAGAAGTATTTGTGGTCGAGGATTGGGAATCAGAATACGAGGTGCTGGTTCTCGAAGAGCTCATATCTGATTCCAATAAATGAAAGGATTCCTCCAAGACCCCTCTAGGAGAGCCATCTCCTACCAATTGGACACAATTACTATCTCTCTCTTCACTTCCTTTGCAGTCATCACAAGTGAAAGGAGACATGCGAGTCCCATTTTCAGGGCATTGCTCTGTTTTTATCTCCATCTCTGCATATTGTAGTTCTAATTAACGTGGTAGGGTAAAATATATATATTCTCATATTAAAATTCAAAGACAAGCCATTACAAAACCAAGGTGATGAACACAAAATAATAGTTACAGTTATAAGAAGAAAGAAGAGAATAAGGACTTAAGGAGATACCACGACCAGTGATAGAAACTGCAATAACCTCTTCTTTTAGGAGGTTTAATGGTTCTTCTGCAAGAGGGAAGATCTTTCCTTTTCCATTATTGCAAGCCATAACCATGGAGCATTCTCCCGATGCTTCTTGCACTCTGCAACTCAAATCACGTATAATCTTAGTTCAAACTACCAGACTCAAAAAACACTCCATAATTGAGCTAAGTGTTTTGAACAATAAAACATTCGATAAACAATGAAGAGAAGGAACCATAAAATCAAATGAAGATAAATAAATGCATACCCCATTTTAGAGTTAACAGATGACTGTACGTCGATCACAGAAACCTTAAACACAGTCGTTTCTTCTATCAATTTACAACAAATTAACATTGTTATCACATTATATCCACACACACAAAAAATAATAATTACAGAGAAAGAATTGAAAAAAGACCCAGAATAAGAAAGTATATCCACCAAAAAAAAAATTAAATGGCAAGAATTGAAAATATAACTAAAACAACGTTAAACCAAGAAAAGAGTTCCATATCAACAATAAAACAAAATGAAGTAAAATAAAAGAGGCTCATAACTTACCTTGTTTTATTTGCAGGTCCATTGATTGAAAAACCTCATTTGCCTAAGCACAAACTACCCAAATTTGTTGATTAGATGGACAAACAAATCAAAGAGCCAATACCCACGAAGTCAAGGTGTTGGTTGGGAGCAAAAGATATAATGTTCAAGAAAATGGGTTCATTGTCACCAAAGTAATCTCCAATTTCCCATCGTTGTCTGCAACATAAAGAGACTAATTAATAACTGTTTCTTTTTGTAACGGTTAGCAAGCACCCATTACAATACATAATGGCGGCCGGGCCAGCATACACATATAGTTTATGGGAATGTATATGTGAGACCTAACTATTTTTTACTACAAAAAAGTTATAATCATCTCTAATCGTTAGATTTGAAATTCAGGCATTAAAAACAGTTACAATTACCTCTAGCCATTAGACTTGAAATTCAGACACTAAAATCAATACACACGATTCAAGAAAAGTTTTATCGAGCATAATGCATAATCAATGGCATACCCTTAACCATTTGATTTCATGACATACTTGTACTTTATCATAATATACATATATATATAAAAATATATATCGGGAATGAGTGTCAACTGTTTGACTTCGACTGAATGGCTATCACAGTGTCGACAACGATATCACATATTCATTATAAATTAGACGATAAAATAAGTTGTATTATCCTAACATTGTTGTCTGCTCATAAACAGGCATTTGATCTTAATTGGACAACAATCATCCAAAGGTGATTTTCTCTAAAACAAGCTACTTCACATGCACAGGGAGTTGCTTTTACATGAAATAAGGGACTCGCTTCCTCATGAAGAGACTCTAAGCCTCCATCAAATTAAAATGGAATACTCATAAAAATTCCCAATCTGACCCAAAGGTTATGCGTATACAATACACGAGTGGTGTATGAAACATTTTCCTACCCAAAATTTGAGCCAGAAAAAGAAAAAGAAAAAGAAAGAGAAGTGTAAATGCATAAAGTAAGCGTGTCAATCTTGATTTAAAGATATGAGGCGTGTGTCTTCACGTTTCCAAGTGGAAGAAGATAAAACACTTTCGTCCACTTTTGGCCATCATCTTGTTCACGTTTTTTATGTAATGATTTTCATGAACTTTTAAATGAGACTTTAGCTTTGCCCATATGCAATTTCAAATTTCAACCAATAATAAAAGACAATTTTCAAATAATTTTATTAAAAAAACGAAGAAAATAAAAGCACGAACACATTTGGTAAATAATAAGTAAAAACAATATTTGATCGACTTTGACTGGTAGAACTGATTTTATTGATTAGACTAGCTAAAATCGATTTAGACCAAACCAACTAGTCCAACAGTCGACCGGTGACCTTTTAATTCAAAAACTTGGTGTGATTAAAACTGGTTAAAAACATTTTTTTAGATCAGGCTGGTTAAACCAACAAATTTTGACTAGTTACTTAAGTAACGTATTTGTTCCATAATATACGTCATATTTTAATTTATTATTCCTTAGTTCCATTTAAATAACAAAAATCCAGTTCAATCAGTGTGATCAACAAACAGACATGTTTTCTTTGCACCAGGATCAATTTGGTGGCCCATTCGGTTTAGGGGTGGCAATGGATATGGACCCAACCTGGGACCCAACGGCTAGACCCGACCCTTGGGTATGGGTTCAAAAATTGAACACGGCGGGTCAAATCCGGTTCAAATCTTGGAGCCGAACACTATTTGGGTCCGGATCTTACATTTTTCAATTTATGAAAATATACTTATCCAAAAAAATTTATGAAAATACACTAGAATATATTTAAATATATAAATATTTTAATTTTTGGGTCGGGTCCGTTCAGGTCTAGTCGGTGGACCCGGACACGACCTGTTGCCACCCCTAATCCGGTTTTGGTAACACTTGAGAATGAGATAAAAACAATACTTAATATAGGAGCAAGAAGTTTAGATATTATAAGGCCAAATTTGAGCCTTGTCAGCCAAAATTCGGGTGAATTTCCTATTCAAGAAACTTTATATTTTATAAAGTGTGAATTTTCAGCCGACTTTGGCCACAATTGAAGGAAATATCCTCTTAAAACACACACATAATGAAAATACCAAGGACTTTATAATGTATTTGGAAATGAAAAATTCAAATGTATAGACTAAAGTTCTTAAGTAAAAGTCTAAAAAAAAATTGGAAATTTATTGATAAAAAGGTAAAACTTTAGTTCTAACAGTATCTTGTAATTACAAAATTAATGTCTTCCTTTGTATCACGATATTGACTATCTAAATTAGAATAATAAGTGCATGCTTTAATAGAACATCTATTTTACAAGAAAATCCAGTTTGGTATTTTAAAAAAAAATGAAATGAATTATAGAAAGGGTGCGGTTTGTATAAGGTTGCAACCTTAAACAATCCAATTAAGGTGTACCTCCAAATATTATTATAAGATATAATTTTGTTGTGAAAAAGTCTAATTATGAATTTTTAAACCCTAGGAATGGTTCAAATCAAATACATATATAAATACATTAAAATATTGAAAATGGACGGTCTAGATAATGTATTGCAAATTGCACTAAAAATCAAAATCTTTATTTTTTCACATATTCGTACATCTCAATGTCGAGATGATCAATTAGAGAGGATTTTCCAATATCAAAACAACCTTTTCAAATAAATTTTTGAGATGCACCTCAATTCTACATTTTAAGATTGCTCCCTTATATAAACTTTTTCCTTTCATAAATACTTTGAAAGTACTCTTTGCTGTTATTTTCTGTAGACATAAACATAAATACCTAGACCTCTCAGAAAAATCAAATAAAAGTTTTGGAAATCTCCCATGGAATTACCTGGCTGAGAAATTCCTTAAAACTACATTTATAAAATATTATAATCCTTAACATTTGTTTTCATGTGAAGTAAAGCGGAAAAAATAACAACCCATGTTCCAAAGACTCTGTTTCTTTGCCAAATCATACTTCCAAATTTAAAAGAGTTATCTTTTCAAATTTCATAAAAAACAAGAAAATGAGAGCAATAAAATTCCTGCCTTAATTCCTCATATCAAAACATCCCAGACCTCAAAAAAATAAAAATAAAAAATAAAAATAAAAAATAAATAAATAAATGCAATACACCGTGAATGAAATTTTCAATAAAAGAATTGGATAATCGGACAAGAAGAGGTAAATAAAAAATTCACTCAAAAATTTACATCATCATCATAGTTTTTTTTTTCATTTAATTACATACCCAACAAAATTAAAAACTTAAATTACACATAATACTAAAAAACAAATATTAATAAATGGCATGAAACTTACCATCAAATTGTGAAATCCTCGTTCTCTTCGCCTTCACCGAGATTAAAAGAAAGCATCAAAGAGCTAAAAAAAAGCATAGAATTATGAGGAAATAATCATATCAAACACCCAAAAGAGTTTTTTTTTTAAAAAAAGAAAACGTTTAGAAGTTAAAAAATGGGTTCATCGAGTCTGATTTTTGTAATTTCTCGATGACGCAACTATTTGTGGGTTTTTTTTTGTGTGGAGATTTTTGCATTCTTTAATTCAAAATAAAAACTAAAAAAATTGTTGGCTGTCCGTGGGTGCTTGTCTTGAACCACTTTCCATCACATATTTTCACATTCACCACGTGTGGCTTAACCGTAGACAAATAACCACAAAAAAAATAAATAAATTAAATGGCCCCTGAATTATCATTTACCAAAAATAGGATGTAAAGTTTTTTAACTAAAAATTTACATTGATCATCTCAGCGGTTGTGAAAAAAAAGATAGGATTTCAAGTCTCTAAAAATAGTATATTTTTGTAACAAATTATCTAGGCAGTCCATTTTACCGTAAAAATAAATAAATAAATAATGTTCATAGATCCCTAAGATTTATACAAATTTATTGAGTTTCAAATTTCATTGTTGGTGTCAGAGATTAATTTTAAAGCCATTATAGATATGGATGTTGCCCAAAGTGCGTTGGGGAAGAGGATTTGAGATGAAGCTTTATTTTGTTTTTATAAAAACTAGACCTTGTAGATACTTCATCCAACAATAAATTTAGACCCTTATGACTTTCTTCTAATATTAAATAGTAATAATAATAATAATAAATAAATAAATAAAACCTTTATGATTTTATGCTGATATTAAATAATAATAATAATAATAAATAAATAAAGAAGACGAAGAAGGGCAACAATAAATATTTGGGTTTTCATACACCACTTTACACAGTATGATCTCAGGAAAAAAAAAAGGTTAATATAATTTTTCCAATTTGTTAGGCCCCAATAAGTGAGAATTCACAAATTTTGCAGGAAAAATACCCAGTTTCTTTATAACGCAATAAATAAATTCAAACTTTGAGGCATTTTATTTTGGCAATGAAAATATTTGTGAAGTCTAAACCAATAAAAGTATTTCTGCTTAATTAGATAAAAAGTCCATAGGCTCTATAAGATAGCACATAAGATATTTCATTTCAATAAGATATTGCATAAGAATGCATGCAAGTCCCCAAAATAGCACTACAGCAAATTGCACCTTTCAAACTTAGAGAGAGAAAAGAAAACAGTAGTTTTAGTTATTTACCATGGAAATGCATGTCCCAAAACTGTGCTGGAACAAATTGGTTCTTTCCAATTTAGATAGAGAAATGGGGAGGGGAGAGAGACGGTACTGCAATGAATCTTAGAGAGGGGGAATCCAGAGAGAAAGAGAGAGAGAGTAGGGGGAAGCTAGCAGGCGGCGGCTTATTTCAAATGGCAGAAACTGAGGAGTCATATATAAATTATATTTCACAAAATCGAAGGAAGGAAGAGAGAGAGTTGCAGACGTTATGTGACATAAAGTGAATGACTGGATATGAGGAGACGTACCGTAAAAAAACAACCAACATTGTGTAAATGGGAGTAGATGCAATTTTCCAACGAAAAAAGAGTTTCTTCTTGTTCCTTGAACCAGATAATGAATGCTAGAGAGAGAAAATACCTTCGAGGGCGGAAGTTTAGAGAGAAAAAATAGGCTTATTTGAGAGTAGATAGAGAGAAGGATGGGACTCTACACTTTAGAGAGAGAGGGGCATGGGGCTCCATTAATCTGTTTAGCACACCTATCAGATCTCGTTCAGCACTTGTCTCGTCACTTGTAATGCCCTTGTCCCTTTCCATGTAATGTATGCCCTTTCCCCCCTCTCTCTCTCTCTCTCTCTGTAAAACAAATAAGTTTTGAGCTCTACGTACGGCATGGGGTAGAGAGTGACAGGGGAAATGATAATATTTTGAAAACCATTTGCCCCCACTTAATGCCAAAATACGTTTAAATAAGACACATGATAAAATGGGCTCCTCTTTTGTCTCACTTAACCTCTACATTCTAATATGGATAGGCCAATAAATCGAATTGTTCTTTTCTTTTTTTTTTTTTTTTTTTTTAAAGTATGAACGATCGGATTCCGGTGGATCTCCAAATTCTATCATAAAAGAAATTATTAGGATTATCCAAAAATCTATTTTTATATTTAATTATAATCCAAAAATAGTTAAAATCAAGTAGATCTACAAATATATGAAAATCTTGAAAATTGATAGTCTAGATAATGTGTTGTACATGTACTATTTTCGGCACTTAATTTCTGTTTTTTGTCATATTCATACATTTCTATGTCGAGATGATCAACTATACGGTTTTTCAACATTAAAATAATGTTTTTCGATTAATTTTTTAGGTGCATCCATATTTCTACATTTTAAGGATGCAACTTTACACAAACTTTTCCCTTTTTATAAACATGAAATTGAACTTGAATTTTGGGTGTCTGTGTTTCTAATCATCATATACTGTTAGAAAAATAATTAAGTAAAAAATATGAGAAAAATAAATTCAGAGGTATTTTTATAATTTTATCTCTTTCGAATATTTTTTATTTTTTTACAAATATGTAGATGTGAGAAATATGCAGGCCCTACATTTGGGCTTAGCACAAGGTATAAAATAAATAAACTAATTTGCACTATACGTTGTAATAAGTGAGATTGAATGTATAATATGAAATACATGAGACTGATTTTTAATTTCAATAACGAATGGGTGTGGTTTGTATAAAGCCATGGCGCTAAACAATCAAGGTAAGGCACACCATCATGTAATGTCGAAATATCTTGTTTTATTATTGGAAATCTTTGTGGTGGTCTGAAATTTTATTTTTATCTTTAATTATAAAATTTAAAGCTGGAAAAATAGTGTAGATCGAGCAGATCTATAAACACTTAAACACCTAAAAAATTCACTGTCCGAATATGCAATACAAGATGCACTATTTCTAATACTTAAAATCCATTTTTTTTTCGTGTTCATGCATATTGAAGTCGAGATGATCAATTTGAGGATTTTTGGGCATTGAAACAATCTCTCATGGTTAAAGTTTTGATGTACGCCTTAATTTTATTGTTTAGGGTCTCACCCTTATATAAAAAAATTTCCTTTTTATTTTTTAGGGCCGCCTCTTTATATAAACTTTTTCCCAAAGGGGGAGGCCCTAACCAATCAAATTAAGGTGCACCTCAAAACTTTTGAGTTGTTTTGATGTCCAAAAATCCCCAAATTGATCATCTCAACTTCAAGATGCATGGATACAAGAAAAAATGGAATTCATATGTTGGAAATAGCGCATCTTGTAATGCATTTTCAGATAGTCGCTTGTCGAGATTTTCAATTGTTCGTAGATCTACTATGTATACATTATTTTTAAAGCTTTAAAATTTATAATTAGATATAAAGCTAATTTTTTAGGCCATCGCAAAGACTTCCAATAGGGAAACAAGATATTTCAAAACTATTTGAATACGCATCTTATTTTGATTGGTTAGAGCATGAGCCTTATACAAACCATACCCTTTACCTTTTGTACAAGGGGGTCACAACTACTTATAACCATCATATGTGAAATTTGATAGCTTGGATGTTGAAATGAAGTTTGAGAAAATTTTATTTGAACATTGAACTCGACCAATGTAATAAATATATCTTTGTTTTGGTTGCAACCTAAGATTGAAATACTCTACACGATATATTTTATTTGAACGATGTAGATTTGACGCATCTTTTAAGACAATATCAATATATGCCATGTCTTTTAAGACAATGTCCAATCTAGACCGTCTAAATAAAAATAGATAGTGTATATAAGTATTTGTAAACTCGATCGATTTAACTTGTAACTGAGCGGTCAAACCAGAATTGGGCACTGGTCGGTACCGATTTTAGTTGGTTTTGGTGTTCAAAATGGGTATTTTAAAAAAATAAAAAAATAAAAAAAAAAAAATAATATATATATATATATATATATATATATATCCCAAAAAAAGTAGGGATTTGTTTGTAATACGTTTTTTAATATTATTTATCATTTTGACGAAGATTAGAAAGTATTTTGGCCATGAATACTCGTTTTTACTTCTTTTTCTATTTTTTTTTTTTCAAAAAAATACCCATGCGCACAAGTCTATATTCAAAATATATTTTTCACTAATTTTCAACTTCATTTGGACATGCTTCATTTAATCATACTTCAAATATATTTTTCATAATTTTTGTAGATATTGTGTATTTTTATTTTTAACACTTTTTTGACAGGCCGAGACTTGTCCGGTTAAGGCCGGTTTGCAACATTATATAGATTTTCCATAAATAAAAATGTCTATGGAAATATCTTTTTTCTTTGATCAAAGAGAAGTTTGTCAAAATATACATAACCTTTCAATAGTTTGACACCACCCATCTATAACTATTCCAACTCATATGCCTGTATTTGAAGTGCATTTCGAAAGTAAATCAAACGACGGATAAAATGTTAAATAATTGAACTTTTATGTATATTTTGATAAATTCCCTTAATTAAATTTGGGGATGCATATAGACGGGTCATAAACACCCAAACCCGTAATATGTAAACTTGGATGGTTATGTTTGCCATTTATTCATAAGTTTGAAAAATGTTTCCTTTGAGCTTCGAGCACAAACAATCGGGCGTAACATGTCTGAGTTTTGGGTACATGCACCTGCGTGTTTGTGTTGGACAGCAAGGCAACCATAGTGTTTGAAAAAATGCCAATTGGTCACCCAATGATTTTTAGACTGAATCGGCATGTTGAACTTAAATCTAGGTTAAAATCTATTTATTTTATATTTGTATGATTTTGATTTTCAATCCGGATTGGATTGAAATTGCCGGGTGGACAATCCACCCCCTGTTATTTGCTTTAAAACACAATGCGAAATTCACACTCTCTTGCTTGGCATGAGAATTGATATACCAAAGGCGTGTATGTACATGCACTCTAGGGCTGCAAATGGTTGGATTCACCTTAACCTGGTAGAGTTCATATCTTGACCGCCAAAATCTAGACCCTCAATTGGACCTCACATGTTGGGTCCAAAGCCTGGCTTGGCCTTGGATATGGTCTACATATGGATCCAAGTAGATCCAAGCTTTTTTTTTATTTAGTTGGTAATTCAGTGAGGAAGACATGCCCTGCTTTGCCCTGTCCTGCCCTTTTTTTTTAAATAGTTTAAAAGTTAATGTTTTGAAAGTGTTAGTGAGATGGGTCCATAAGATTGAAAAATCACAACTTTTTGACTAGAGTGTGGAGGTGCTACTACCGCAGCCGTAGCCCCTTTATCGAAACCCAAGCCGTTTGAGAGTAGTGACATTTGCATGTGATTTGCCAGAGTCACACAAAAGAGGGATTTGGAAGGGGCATCAGGTGGCCGGTCCTTTTCTCCTCTCTCTCTCCTTGGGCATGTAAATAAGGCAAAAAAATTATCCTCTCTCTCCTAGGACATGTAAATAAGGCAAAAAAAAATAATCCAAAAACATTAATAGGAAAAGGTCCATATCACCTCAGGTGGATACAAATTTGGAGCATATATTTGGTTGTCCGAAGCAGTGAAAGTCCCAAATACATTTAAAATTGGGTAGAAGGAAGATTGATTTACCATTGGCCTTGAAAGAAGAGAAACGAAACATGGTTGAGGGGCTGCCATCAATGAAATAGTTTTAGCTTTTAAAAAAAGATATTCGACTCGGCTGAGTTACTCAGACTCGGGTCCTTATCGAGCCCGAGTTGGATATCCAATTCGAGGATTTTAAAACATATATATATTATAAAAAATATAAGAAAATAATAAATATATTTGTAACATGTTTATTTATATTTTCTATCATCTTGGCAAAAATTGGAATAAATTTTGGCCATTAATATTTATTTTTATATTTTCTTATTTTTGTGGAAAATTTTTAAAATACCCCCGATCACAAACTCATTTGTTTTACTCGATTTTTGCTACTTTTTTAACAACAATTAGTTGTATTTTGTTAAAATTTTACTTTAAATATATTTTTCCTAATTTGGGGGAATTTTTTTGTATTCTTTATTTTTTTTAATGATTTTTAGCTACTATAGTACTGGGAACGAGACGACTTTTCAAACATCGGTTTTTTAAGTCTACGGTTAATTTCTCTTTGGAAATTGAAGAATCTCAACCTCGATGATTATGGGATGGAAGATGAATTTGGTGCATTGGGAAAAGTACTTCTAGCGGCATTTTATTTAGATCAACTTTTTTTCGAGTAGTCACAAAGCGACTGTCTGCACCAGTTTTTGAAGGGCGTGGTTTTTATAAGGTTACAACCTTAAACAATCCAATTTAGATGCATCTCCAAATTTTATCATAACATGTAATTTTAGAGTAAAACAATTTTAGGATTATCTGAAAGTCTATTTTCAAGTAGATCTATACGCATATGAAAAACTTGAAAATGGACGGCCTAGATAATATGTTGCAAGATGCACTATTTATA